TTGCGGGTAAAGCCAGGTGACGCCGCCGTGAGAAAAAAATAAAAACAGCATCTGATGAGACCCTTCATGATTCCTGTTTTGTGTAATTTTTTTACCATTGTTAATCACCATTCCTTTTTCTGCAAGTTGACCGAAGCAAAACACTCAACCGCGAAGGTGAACCGGCGGAGCTACCGCAACGGAAAACTCCGCCGCCAGTAAGCTTCGGTTTTTCTACTTTTTTCAATCAATCGAGTCCCGTTAACGTATCTTCTTGCAGGGATGGGTACAAAATCGGCCAAAAATGGCCAACCCGAGGCAAACTGCTGTCGCGGGCAGCGATGCCGTCGTCGGAGCATGGCGGAGCCGCGATACCAGAATTCCAAAATTGGCCAAAAGGGATTTTTAACACTGATTTTTGGTTTTTTGTGTGGATATTTTTAGGTACTTCAAATGTGTTTTAATCCCGAAAGAAAATTTAGGGAACTCGGAAACCACCAGTAGGCGCGACTGAAAGTTTAGCATCTCGGTCATTAATTTGCGTAAGAATTTCTCACATTATTCTCGGTTTTGAAATTGAAGTTTAATTATGAATAATATAATATTTTGCGTAATTTAGAAATATCGATAATAAAAGGTTAATAATTGAGGCGGAACCGATTATTTATTACTGTTTACCATGTTTCACTGATTGATTGATTTTACAGTTTCGAATGCATGATAATACACTGGAATTGATATGATAATTCGATTGTTTTTTCTTGATGCATGCTTTACTTGCTTTACGTGATTTATAGTTAATTGAAAAACTATAAATCAAAGGTAAATGAAAAATCGTTTGATTAAGTGAATGGATGAATGAAAGCCTTACTGAATATCTTGGGAGATGGTGGACGGACTAGGTACATAGGGAACCTTACCGTAAACGTTGCCTTATACCGTACGGAGTACGTGGTTGACCCATTTTATCCTTATACCAGACGGGGTATTGAGGGATGTTATTTCTTGACGCTCATACCGGACGGGGTATGGGGACGACTTGTTAGTTGAAAATATTGAAAAATAGTTTATGCGTAGTAGAGACATCTCTATGGACCCCTATGGATACCAGTAGTATGATAAATGAGAAAGTTATTGTTCCGACTGATTGAATATGAAAATATGATATTGTTTATGCTATTGACACTATAGGTCGATTTTGAAAATCTCACTACGTTAAGTGTATAAAAAATTATTTTAGTTATGATAAATAAATTTATTTAAATTAAGAGTTCTATTAATTATTTTTCATGATTTTTACCGATTTTCATTTATGTGTCAGTGAGTAACGTGATATTCTTACTGGATTAGTGTATTTCACTCTTTCATTAACTATTTCAGATTAAGAGTACCAAAATCTAGAGCCCGATCCACAAGAGAATATCAAGTAGGACGTTCAGTTTGTTTACTTTCATTTATTTCTTTGATTATTAGTTGTTCTTTTAAAATGATCATTTCCGTAGCCCTATTAGATATCCCGAATTATTGTGTAATGAATGTAAACTCTAACTTATTGTTTCGTTTCCGCATTATATTTATACTTTATTTTCTTTATGGTTCAAGAGCCGTTATAGTAAAAATTATCTGAAACTTTAATAGCATACGGAAGAAAACAAAAGACATCAACAACTAAAGATCTTGAACAGAAAAACAAACATCTTATTCTATTGCTTGCTATTAAAATTAGTACCAATTTTTTAACAAAAAAAAATAAAAATTTGACATAAAAAAAAAAAAGATAAACTACTAGAATGAGTTGTTATATAAAAATGACTATGTCGAGATTTCTTTTGAATCATATATATATGTATATATCCCTTCACGTTA